GGTGATGGGTGAGGCTGAGGGTGAGAAGGGGTGGTTCGGGGTTCAGAGGGCAGGTTCGGGGCTCGAAATGAGGGTAAGGTTGGGGGACATGCAGGCCGTCAGGGAGGGCTTTGGGCTGAAGGGGCAAACTCAAGGGGCTTGGGAACGGAAGGGGGGGGGAGGGGAGGTGTTGGGCGGTGAGGGTCGCGCTGCGTGGCGTCCGCAACTGCGCCGCACTTGGCTTGAGCACGCGCGTCCATGACCCTGTAAATGAGCGTGACGGCTCCCTACAAGCCAATACAGACCTACGAACCTGCACCTTCGCACGTGTCCCTTCACACACAAGCACGCATGCACGCACACACACGGGCCCTACCTGCAGGTTGAGCGCCAGCTGGTTCCACCCGTCATCTAGCCTCAGTGGCATGGTGCAGATGAACGGCTTCACCCGCGTCACGGCCTGCAAACACGTCGATACGACGCTTATAATTGCAGCCCCGCCAGGTCGATGCGCCGCGCCGTCAAGCGGTGCGGGGCCTTCAATCCATCTCATCGCCGCCCTTCCCTCCCTCAGCCCCTTACAGTCGCCGCGCCGGCGCCGGCGCCGCATGCATTGTGCTGGCCGGCCCTCGACAGCGCTGTCGCCTCAGCCGCATGCAGCCGCGCCCCGCCCATGCATCTCCACAAGACAGTCCCCCAGCACACAAAGCAGCTGCGGCCGTTCTGCCTGCAGCCGTCCCGCGCCCCGGCCGCCAGCTCAGCGCACCTGGTAGTTGCTGGCCCTGAAGCGCCGCCTCACGTTCATGTCATCGATGACGTGGACCTCAAAGCTGAAGTAGCGGCGCATGTTCTTCACCAGCAGGGTAAGGTGGGGCAGCTTGATGCCTGGGCAGGGGCGGGGGCGGGGGCCGGGGACGGGGGCAGGGGTGCACTTGATGCGCGCGCTGTGTGTGTGTGTGTAGAGTCGCCATGTGAGGTGCTATCAGAGCGTGCATCGGTGTGTGTGGGTTTGGGGGGGGGGCGCGTGCGCGAAGGGCTGGCGGCGAAAGGGGGAACAGGGTGTGCATCGTCACGCGGCTGGCAGCGCAACGAGCCCATGACGCCCGCTGCCTTACAGCCCACGCACAGGTTGGGCGCGCCGGCGAGGCGGCCGCAGCGGCGCCAGGCGCACCGAGGTTCTTATTGGGGTCTGCCGGGCAGGATATTGACACGTTGGCAATGTTGTCAGCCGCGAGCTCAAGGACAGCCCCCTGGATGTCCTCATCTGTCACGCGCTTCACATGACCCTCCCGGACTGGGAAAGGGGGAGTGAGGCGGCGGCGGGGGACTGCTTGGGTGATGGTGATGGCGACATCGTGTGCAGCGCCGCGCAGTCGCGCGTGCTGCGTCGCGGAGCGGGGTGTCGTGTGCTTGGGGGGCGCACGGCAGCAGCGCAGGGGGGCGCACGCACCGTCTTGGTCCCATATCTGCAGCGGCTTGGAGCCAATGGAGTATAGGAGGGAGAGAAAGCCGCTCTGGTAGCTGTTCTTGAACATGCAGGCCCGCTCCCGGCCTGTGCTGGCTGAGCAGCGGCGCTGCTCGTGCTGCCACGTGTCCCGCTGCCCCCGCCAACGCGCTGGCGTCCCGCTCGAGGGCTTGCTGGTCTGTACTGATACACACTGTATTTTTTAGCACTCAAAATTTCAAAATCGTGAAAGCAACCTGCTGTATTTGCCACAGTAGATCCAAGTGCTTGATCTGGGTGACAGCAGAGGCTGCTGGAGGTACATCAGCAGGCTGAGCATGAATTCTTATGGTTGCCGCTTCGTCAAGAATAGCCGGCCACCTGCAGCCGACGAATCATCCTTAGTCATTGACTTTACAAAGCGAACAGACTGAACGACGCTCCCTGCCATAACATACGTAGAAACCTTTTCTCTATTGTAAAGTCCTTGTACTGGCCACACACCCGCCCGAAGTGACGACCTAGGACAGGCGGGAGGCACCAGAGCCCACCGCGCAGTGTGGGACGCATCTCAATGGATGGCTGAAACCTTACACGTCGTTTTATCGGGTCCCGGCTTGATGCTCCACGATGTGGGATGCCTGCAATCTGCTGTCCCGGGCCTAGCTCGTTCTTGAGCACGGCAGGCCCGGTGACAACTATCGCCTGCAAATAGTAGAGGCCTTATACGGTCTTCCGTGACGCCGAGGCGGCCAGCGTGCGCGCTGCACCACCACGGATGGCGCCGCTGCAGGCACTCCCGGTCACGGGGGCGCGGCGGCACAGGAGCAGCAAGTCTGGCGGCGGGCACGGCGGCGATGACTCCGGCGACTGCGGGTGGATCTGCAGGGGCTCGCTGACTGTGGTGGCGGCCGCCATGCTGGCCACGCTGGTCACGTTCACCTGCATCAATGCGTACATGCACGGCCTCGCGCCCCCGCCCTCCGCCGCCGACGCGCTGCCCGGCGGCGCCCGCGGCGCCCGCGGCGCGGCCAGCACGCGCGCGCTGGCAATGGTCCCGCCCGGCGGCGTCGTGACCATCGGCGGCGGCGGCGGCGGCAGCGGCATCGCGGCGCCAAAGGCGGCGCGGCAGCCGTTCAAGCACCCGTTCCCAGACCAGGCGTACCGCATCTTTTCGATCCCGCCCCACGACGACTCGCCGCGCTGCAGCCAGAGCAAGATATGCGACGGCGATCACAGCTGCGGCCCTGATGGGCTGGGGTGCATGACGGACGCGCACCAGCGGAAGATGAAAGTGCGGGAGGCAATCCGCTGGAGCTGGCAGGGGTACAGGTGCGCAGCGCCTGCCCGTCTTGAAGGCTTGGCGCCCAGCAAAACCAGGGGGCCGCGGAAGCAAACCGGCGTACGCTTGGTCGCTCACATGCAGGCAGCGATTACAGCACGAAACGCAGAGACGTGATCGTGGCGATTGCCACCACCACCACCACCACCAAAACCATACATAGAAACACCGCGTCGATGACGAGCCGCGCCCTAACCCCGCGCCCCCGTTCGCAGGAAGTACGCCTGGGGCGACGACGAGGTCAACGTGCTGGGCCGCACCCCCATGGCCTGGTTCAGGCTGGGGCTGACCATCGTGGACGGCATCGACACGCTCATGATCGCGGGGCTGGAAGAGGAGTATCAGGAGGTGCGCGGCAGGGCGCCCTGCGCTGAGTGTGTCGCTGATTTTCGTTTGTGGTGCGCTGGGCAGTGTGTGGTCTATCATTACGTGTTGGGCGCTGTATGGTGTATCTTGAGATCTGTGCTGCGCGCTGCGTGCTGCGTGCAGTGCTGTGCTGGGTGCTGGAGCATGCTGTGCGCTGTGCTGTGAGCCTGGTTGTGTGCTGCACGCTGTGCGTGATTGGCAAAACAAGGCAAAGGCATCCGTGCTGGATGGGGTTGAGGGAGCTTCCTGCGGGGTTTTAGTTTCGCCGCACCCATTCAGCCCCTCTGCATTTCTCGTCCGCAGGCGCGGCACTGGATCGCCAATCACCTGCATTTCCCGGACCAGTCCATAGTCCAGGTGAGTGCATCGGCTGCCGCAGCGGCGGCAGCAGCAACGTGAGCAGCAGCAGCAGTAGGAGCAGCAGCAGCAGCAGCAGCAGCAGCAGCAGCAGCGGCGGCAGCGGCAGCAGCGGCAGCAGCGGCAGCCGCAACAGCAGCAGCGGCAGCAGCAGCAGCAGCAGCAGCGGCAGCGTCAACAGCAGCAGCGGCAGCAGCAGCAGCAGCAGCAGGGCCAGCAGCAGCGCAGGTAGCATTGGGAGCGATGGTGGGGGGGACCCAAACTGCTGCGGATCCTCAAAACTTCAGTGGCAACCTGCCGCCCATGCAGCTGCTTTGCATCTGTGGTCCACGCCTATTCACCACAATCCGCCAGCGGGCTTGGCCACCTCCCCCTCACACACATCCCCGAGCAACTGACCTACACGCCCCGCCCTCCTTGCTCC